AAATATTTATTATTAATTGTTACAAATATTAATTTTTTTATTTTGATTCTAAAATTTTAAATTTTAATATTCACAGAGAAATGAACATTCTTTTCAAAAATTACATTAACTTTTTCTTTAAATCTCTCCTGTTTTACTTTCATTATCTATACATAAAAAAGTTTTATTTTTACCTCTCTTCGCTCCTTTCATGAACCTCATCTACAATTACATGAGAGACGGAAGAAAGAAAAGGATCACTTTCTAATCTTCTCAGTAAAATTCCAGTGGTACAAAACGTAAGTCTCGTACTATTAGAAATTTTACTTTCCAATCGAATTTGATAACCAACTGTTTGTCCAACTTTTTCAATCCTTTCTTCTGCAACACGTTCCGCAACCCCAATGGCAGATATCCTTCTTGGTTGTGTGCAAATTATTTCAACATGTTTTCCTTGCTTTTTATTGTAATTTGTTATCCAATCATCCAAAATATATTGCGGCACTTGAGTACTTTTTCCACAACCAGTTTCTCCACTAATAACTACAATCTGTGCAGATTCAAGTGTGTTTAGAATATTATTTTTTAGTTTCCACGCAGGAAGATTTTTTCGGCAGTTTAGCATTTCTTTATATTTTTCACCCCCTTGTCGGCTCAAAAAACTCTGAATAATTTTTTTATCTTCAGTAGCGACTTTTTGAGTACAATAAACTTTCTTATCAACATTTGTTATACCTTTGTCATAATGAGAAGGTCCCTTAGGTAACTCTGTTTCCTTTTCATTTTCTTCAGAAAATATGCTTTCATCAGAAGGTGGAAAGTTAATTCTTGCATTGTTTATGTATTCCAGCATTGCTTCTTTGTTGTTTATAAATTCTACAATAGGGTAAACACTTGCTATCCCATCTTTAGCAAATTCAATGGCTTCTAAGTATAGTCTTTTACTTATATTAAGACAGAAAAATTCTGGAAATGGATAGTTTGTTTTAAGGAATATCAATGGAGGTTCAAAGGGGTATTTGTTGCCCTCGGGGAATCTAAATTCCAAACTAAATTCATGTTTATTTAAGTGGGCGTTTATATCCTTAGGTGTTGAAAGTTCTTCATGTAAAAAACGGCATTTATTTCCATACTTACAGTGACCTTTTTTAAAATTTCTACAAATATCTTTGGGCTTTATGGAACTGTTTTTTTTAATATCTGGTTTCTTGGGGTTGAATAATTTGACTAAATAATCTAAATCAACTTTTACTAACCACACTGAATTAGAAATTTTTTCTTGAAATGCAGCTTCAAATATTGATGTTAAAACTTCTTTTTCATCTTGACGTTGTTCTGTTATTTCTTCGTCAGTATGATCCAGCATAATCCTTTTATTTGTTGTTTTGAAGTATTTTTGGTATAAAAGCTGTAAGGCATCTTCTAATTTTTCCTCACAATATTCTAATGCTTCTTTACAATGATTCTTATGGAATCCATAGCTATATAAAAACAAAGTAACAATAGAGTTATGGCAGTATGTTGCATTCTACCGAGATATAAACATGCTTCTAATAGAGCATCTTCGCCTTGGTCCGTGATTTATCGAGACGTCTATGGCCTGCTGATGAAGTTAAACAAGATCAAAATCGCGATCCACGTCTGGTAGTTTCGATAAATTACTGACTAAGAACTTACTTCCTTATAAGTAGCAATTATTTATCTTTCCACGACCTCCATTAAAAAAATCAAGTTTATTAACCAACCTTTCTAGCCTAAGTATAGCAAACTCTTTTATTTGTTCAGCTTCATTATTTGAATTAGAATCTGAACAATTATTTAAACTTCCTTTAACAACTAGTCCTCTCTTTTCTACCCAAAATTTTTTTCTAAACTGCTGATTTCCTTGATCCTTGTATTTGAGTGCATCATCTAAAGTAAAATCCTAAAGAGTGTTTTAATAATTTAATTCATGAAGAATAACACTTACAGGTCCATAAATATACTTCAGGGTTTTTAAAATGAGCTTTTGAGAATGACTGCTCAAACGAAGAACTTGCAATTCTTCTTTTACTACCTTTTTAGATACTTCCGTTTTCTTTTCTCGACTACAATATAATCTCGTGCAATTCATGTTTGTATATATAAATATTAATGTATTAATAATAGGAGCTAATGAAATAAAGTGATCTTACCCTATTTTAATGTTTGGAATTTCACGTAAGAAAAAATCACTGTTATTTTCTGCCTCTTCCGAATTCATTTTCATAATTTTGAATAAACAATCTTCTNAATATCTTTTTTATGCTTCCAACAGTTTAATTCAAAACTTTAATTGTTTCGGCATATAATGCCTTTTTTAACAGTACATATAAATATTAATATTAATGTTTAAGTTGTGTACAAAGATTTCAAATGTTTAAAGAAGGCATATACCGAAAAAATTTAGTTTTGCGTTAAATTATTGGAAACATAAAAAGCAGGTATTTATTTATATTTCTTTAGTTTGTAGTTTTAGGTCTTTTTTCAAAAAAAAATTTCGTTGTACAAATCTCATTTAATTGCTTTTCTTTTTTGATTGCCAATTGCGTAATTAAATAAAGAAACGTTGGCTTATGCGTGAAGTATACTTTGATTTGATGAAAACATAGAAGACCGTGCTTTTGGACGTGTACCGTTTTTCTGTCGTATTTCCAGCTTATTAATTTTCCTGATCTTTGTCGATTTACTGCTACATATTATAGTTTTTATTAAAGTAATAAGATTCATAGTAGTAATGGGTATTTGCCCAAATGTTTTTTATGCCAGTATACTCACTTAAAACAATTTGCAAATAGTATATAACCATTATCGTGATTATCGCGAAAAGTGTCGGCTGTGAGTAATAATACAATTACAATAATATATATAATAAATTTAGTGGAAGCTGGAAGGTGAGAATTAATGAAAGTGTGGGTTGCTATTAAAATAACGACAATTATTCACTGTTTAATTATTGGGATTATCTTTTCCGTTTTTCTTTTTCAAGTTGAAGCAGTTAAAATGATAGATTTGCCAATTTCAAAAGAACTCAAAGACGAAATTCAAGTTAATCAAAATCTGTTGAAAAATGCGATTCGTAATCATCAGGTAATTTTGTAATCATTTTAATTTGAATTTTATAAAAGAAAAAAGTTATCCTATTATTTTATTATTTTCAGACTTTAATTTATAAACTTCAAGAAGAACCAGAAGTAAGTTAGGAAACAGGTATAAATAAAATTGTACAAATTATCTTTGTTGTTATTTCTGTTTTAGAATGTGGAAATACAAAAAAGAATTCAATGTCTTCAGCAGGAAATTGTTACTGTAGGATTAGAACAGGTTTGGTTTTTTGTTTGTTCATTTTTAAAACATAATAGAAGTTATTAGCCTGTACTGAATTTTTTTTTTTGTAAATTTTAGAAAGGCATAATAGAGCGTATAAGAAAAGAACTAAAGTCTTATGAAAAAAATATTCAAGAAAACAATGTTACTGCTGCTCTTGAAGAGAAACGAAACAATTTAACAAATGCTTTGGGTAGAGCAAGGAAGCAAACAATGTGAGTGAAACAAAATTAAATGAGTTCTTAAAATTGCATAAAATGTGTTGTTATTTTTATAGAAATGTTAGACCAGTTTCTGCTGCTTCATTTAGTGGTTCTGATGATTCCTCAGAACTTCCTGTGTATCGTTCATTATCTCCTGAAGTTGTTTTTAATCCCCTTAAACCTCAAGACTTAGGTCAAAACAAATTTTTGCATTATTATGGTCTGTGTACCCATGAAATATACAAGGAACTGGTTAATAAGAGAGCTGAACGAAAAAGAAGAAGTACAGCTAATCCTCAGTTTTTGTATGGGGGTAAAGGATGGGATTCATCTTCAGTAAGGCTTTATTTATTTATTTGTGATGAGTGGTATAAAATAGATACTTGTTACTCAATATAATATTAAGGCATCTTCTAATTTTTCCTCACAATATTCTAATGCTTCTTTACAATGATTCTTATGGAATCCATAGCTATATAAAAACAAAGTAACAATAGAGTTATGGCAGTATGTTGCATTCTACCGAGATATAAACATGCTTCTAATAGAGCATCTTCGCCTTGGTCCGTGATTTATCGAGACGTCTATGGCCTGCTGATGAAGTTAAACAAGATCAAAATCGCGATCCACGTCTGGTAGTTTCGATAAATTACTGACTAAGAACTTACTTCCTTATAAGTAGCAATTATTTATCTTTCCACGACCTCCATTAAAAAAATCAAGTTTATNCGAATTTATGTAGGTAATTAAAAATGTTGTATTTACTATTGCTAATTTTTTTCTTACGTGAATAAGAAAATTTGCAGGGACAAGGATTTTTTAAATGTAATTGTATTATCTTTATCGCCACCAAATACTCGTCAGGCTGTAAAGAATAGAAATAAGTTAGAAAGGAGTTTGTCTTCTCCTGGAAGGGGTGACTCGCCTCCGGATAGTCCAATTGAGACGTCAAAGAAGCTGCCTCCGTCGTTTCCAAGTATTCCAAATCTTCCTAGTGGCCTTACCATCGAAAGGGTGAATCCAAATAGATCATCGCCAGAAGAAAAACATTGCATCGTTTGCCGCTCGTCAGGTTGGTTTGCTGATTTCTGTATAAGATTAATTAGATTACCTAAGATTATCGCACAAATAATTAGGTACTATCAAAAGTTTTTGATACCGAAGTTAATTAGTATTCGAGAAAAAAATGAACTTTTTTTACTGTCGACCGATTTTTACTCTTATTTTTGAAAGTCAAGTAACTTAGACATCTGAAATTTTTAGGTATATCTTTATTTTGATAATATTCCATGTTTTTCTTAAAAATATGTATGAGCGAAATATCTTGTGGTTCTGCGCGGGGATCTATTTACTATGCGTCACCCTGTTGTTTTTTACACCCACAAAAAAAAACTGAATTAATTAGTTAGTATGTTTGTTTTAGGAAATCTATCTACTTGTGAAACGTGCACGGGCTTCTTCCATATTAGTTGTCATAATCGTCCATTGGTGCAGACACCTCGTCAGTGCCCTCGATGCATAACGAACAAAGATGTTCGCACCGTGGGTTCTCTCAATGTTCCCTCCGGTATGACTGTGTCCTGTGTGTCTACTGATGTATCAGGTTAGATGTTTTTGTAGTGTATGCACTCTCATCTTCTACTAACCATTCGTAGATCATGATGAAATTCATGAGGATAAATGTGGAATGAACAATGAACCGGCAATAACGTTATAAAATCCTTACTAATGTTTTTATAAAATTTATTTTTTATTGTTAAAAAAGACGTGCAATTTTTAGTTTCATTTTATTCATTCATCTACAAACGAGCATTCGTTTTTGTAATTGCAAAAAAGAAAAAATCAGGTCCATAGTTTAACTTGTAATGATTCCACGGTTGGGTAATTATGAAACAATATTAATCAAAGAAATAAAATAAATAAATATCTTTTTTATGCTTCCAACAGTTTAATTCAAAACTTTAATTGTTTCGGCATATAATGCCTTTTTTAACAGTACATATAAATATTAATATTAATGTTTAAGTTGTGTACAAAGATTTCAAATGTTTAAAGAAGGCATATACCGAAAAAATTTAGTTTTGCGTTAAATTATTGGAAACATAAAAAGCAGGTATTTATTTATATTTCTTTAGTTTGTAGTTTTAGGTCTTTTTTCAAAAAAAAATTTCGTTGTACAAATCTCATTTAATTGCTTTTCTTTTTTGATTGCCAATTGCGTAATTAAATAAAGAAACGTTGGCTTATGCGTGAAGTATACTTTGATTTGATGAAAACATAGAAGACCGTGCTTTTGGACGTGTACCGTTTTTCTGTCGTATTTCCAGCTTATTAATTTTCCTGATCTTTGTCGATTTACTGCTACATATTATAGTTTTTATTAAAGTAATAAGATTCATAGTAGTAATGGGTATTTGCCCAAATGTTTTTTATGCCAGTATACTCACTTAAAACAATTTGCAAATAGTATATAACCATTATCGTGTATTTTCTTCTTGTTTTTGTGGAAAGGATAAATAGTCAGTTTTGTTTTTTTTTTCTTCTAAAATTAAAGGTTTCGTTAATTTTTATACAGCATATGTGCCTTATTGTATTATTTACATTGCACATTATTATTTTATTCGATATATACAAACGCTATTTTGGTCATGGATGCCTTCCAGGGCAACAGCATATACATATTACAGCTGTTACACCAACCGCAATTCCTATGGTAGCCCAAAGGGATAATTCGATTTTTCCTACATCAACTGTTAATCCTTTCTGTTCATTTAATTGATCACTAATTGGTTTTCTTGCCATTTTTATTTCAATTAACAACAAATTTTGATAATATACACAAATACTGAAGTGTCATTTTGACAGTAGTAATTTTAATATACTTATATACTATACCTTAAACATTTTTTAATCACAAATTCTAGTGTTAATATTTTCTATTTTGTGATTCATTTTAGTCTGTTTTAAAACTTTATGCTCCAGCTAATAGTTGTGTTTAAGATTAAACTTTCAACTCTGCTAAAAGCTGTTATATTTAATGCTAATAATATTTTTTTACTTTTAATTTTCACTTTACTGTTTAGGCTTATTTTTGTAATTTAGCTTTGATTCAAATTGTATTTGTCCTTATATTTAATTTTTTTTCTGCATTTGCTGCAGTTATTGTCTTTCCATTAAACAATTTAAAAAACTGAGAGAACTTTTAACTCTTACCAGTTGATGAAAAACTTCAAGAAAAGGAGAAGCTATATGAAAAGAACCGCCAATTGGCAGCTGAACTGACCCAGTTACAAGACCGTCATTCGCAACTGACCATTTCACTTAGGGATCAAAAGAATAAACAGGATCAACTAATGGACACGCACCATTGTACCAAGACGAAAATTAAGACAATCTTGGATTTCATTAATAGCGTCAAGTCCCGTTCTTATGCTAATTCCGAGGCTGTTGACAAGGATGTTAGCAGCACTACAGAAGTGTAGCTACTTCTTTTAGTAGTACTTGTGAAATAGTAGGTTTTTTCATGTTTTGTTAGTTGTTAGATCCCACAAGTTAGTTTATAGCAAATACAGTTACATTAGACTAAAACAATTGTTCTTTGAAATCGAATTTATGTAGGTAATTAAAAATGTTGTATTTACTATTGCTAATTTTTTTCTTACGTGAATAAGAAAATTTGCAGGGACAAGGATTTTTTAAATGTAATTGTAGAGGTGGTAGTTGATAATTATAATTTATTTAAAATATATATACCTACAACAGTACATGGTAATTATTAAAATTTACAGATTTCTTCTCATATATACACCTTTGCACTCCATATACGTATAAATAAAAACAAGGCACTATTGTTTATTTACTTATTCAAGTCTAGATTTACATACCATTGTATGCTGGTCCACCGCCTCCTTCAGGTGTCACCCAGTTGATATTTTGACTGGGATCTTTTATATCGCAAGTTTTGCAATGTATACAATTTTGAGCATTGATTTGCAACCTTTGGCCTTCCCCACTTTCAAGAGGCACAAATTCGTAAACCCCTAGAATAATGATACCAGTTCTTTTCTATTATATTGAATATAAAAAAAACGGTCAGATTCGAATCGCTTTTAACAAAATAGAAACGATTACATGTTGACCAGTTCTTTCTCTCTAAGACAATTGTTAGAAATTATAAGGGTTTTAAATCAGTTTAATTTTAAAACAATTTATCAACGCTTCGCCCCTTGTATGGGAGTTTTTCCAAGGTTTACTTAGGTAAAAGCATCCAATCAATGTGAGTGAAACAGTGATATATCAACCAACATAAGTCCATTGGACGATAAAAGCATCCATAAAAACACACCACAATTAATAAAAACGAATAATTACAATAATTGGATCGAATAATTAAAACAAATCATTGTCGTGTGTTTTTATCGTTCATTAGATTGATTATTGTTGGTTAACGTAACACTGTTTAACTCACATCGATTGGATGTTTTTACCTAACGAAGAAAACTATACCTTGAAAAACTCCCGCACAAGAGGCGAAATGTCGGTAAATTGTTTTCAAAATAAACTGATTTTAAAACCCCTATTATTGCTCTAAGAAACATTTAGAATAGGTATTGGAAATAGTAGAATATAGGGCATTATGAAAGTCAATAAGGAAAAGGAGAAATGGGATGGTAGGACACCTTTTAAAATATGAAGGGCTACTAGAAGCAGAAGGCGGAGTAAAGAGGGGCTGAGAGAGATCTTGATTATATTACTGTCTGCAAATAATTAGAATGTGGGATATTCTAAGGAGAGACAGGGAAAATTGGAGGCTATCAAACTAGTGTTAGACCTGATGATCCTATGATAATGATGCTGTACTATTTAAAGAAGATGTTTCTTACCTGCGGGACAAAATCTCCCTTCGGGTCCGTCGAAAACTGTTAAATTATTTTTGACGGGAATGGTGTCATCTTTAAGCGTTAAATGGGGTGGTTGATCTGCTTCGTGATTAGTACCTGTTAAGGCTACTGATGAAAGCAGATCGAAAGTAATTTTATTATCAGGTTTAGGATAGTCTATTGGTTTACATTCTTTCGCTGGTTTTAGTCTCTTGTAATCAGGATCTAAAAATACTAAGTGTTAATTTAAAATAGCAATAGTTTTTTTTTTCAAGAATACAAATTTGTTAAAATGAATTTAGTTAAAGCGCTTTTATTAATATTGTTTGCTTACCACCATGTTTTAAAGTCCACGGTTCTTTACCGCCAACGAGCATACTAAATCCACCATAAAGTATACCTCCATACAAACCCAAAGAACTATGAAAACTAGGTCTTATATTTCGAGCAGCTTTCAGTTCTGTCCAAATCCAACTGTTCTGTATCTTGTTAACATATGTAACAGGTTCAACACTTTGTTCTAAGTTTTCTCCTTGTGCCCAAACGGCTTCTACAGCCGCTTCAGCTGCCAACATACCGCTTTTCATTGCGTTGTGGGTACCTTTTATTTTTGGCGTATTTAGAAAACCGGCGGCGCATCTGCGGAAAATAAAATTATTCAAAAATGTATAAATTGATTGAATATTTAGTAAATTACTTTTACATACCCAATGAGACAACCTCCAGGAAAAGTCAATTTCGGCAAGCTCTGGAAGCCACCTTCATTCAATGCCCTAGCACCATAAGCTACACGCTGGCCTCCTTCTAGTACTGATCGGATAGTGGGATGCAGTTTAAAGCGTTGGAACTCCTTGAAGGGACTTAAGTAGGGATTGGTGTAATCTAGGCCTACCACGAAACCTATGGCAATCAAAGGGGATGGTTCGTTTAAATGGTAAAGGAAAGAACCACCGTAAGTGTTACGATCGAGCGGCCACCCTACCGTATGTTCCACTAAGCCCGGCTGGTGTTTTGAGGGATTGATTTCCCAAATCTTTAACAACATGTGCAAATGTATCAATACCTTATTTATTTATTATGGTAATATGGTAATTGCAAGAGTGGTTTTAAATCAAAATTCTATCACTGTGGTATGGTTCCGCAGTAAGATTGCAAAGAGGATAAGGTATAGGTATAGTAGATGTATAAACAAAACATTAACCGTAGTTAAGTTAAGTTTGAAATTTACTACAAAAATGTTTTACAATTATAACGCTGGTTTGAGAATTTTTAAGCTAAGTCACTCACCTCTTTAAGACCAATTCCATAGGTTTGCGGTTCACTGTTAGCCCTTAAGTCAAACTTTTTAATAATTTGTTTTGTAAGATGTCCATGACAGCCCTCAGCAAAGATGGTACATTTTGCGTGCAGTTCCATTCCGCGTTCAAAATTGTCCTTAGGGGCACCGTCTTTTCCAATACCCACGTCGTTTGTAGCTATACCTTTTACACTTCCGTCTTTGTGATAAAGGATTTCCGCGGCCGCATATCCTGGATATATTTCGACTCCTAAAGCTTCAGCTTGCTCTCCTAACCAGCGTACAACATGACCCAGTCGCACAACATAGTTACCGTGGTTGTTTAAAGGCATAAACGAAAGAACTGGAATCGGTATTCGAGCCTTCTCGGTAAGAAAGCTAAATCTTGAAGAACATAACATTTTAAAGTTAAACAGTCTACATATATATATAGTTAGGCCGCTATAGCAATGCACTTCTTCTATTGAGGTTTGAAATATTTTCTAATGTTGTACACTGACCTATCTTTTTTTACTGGAGTTGTAAGAGGCGCTTCTTTATCTTTCCAGTCAGGAATTAATTCATCAAGAGCTTTAGTTTCAATGCAGGCTCCTGAAAGGATATGACCTCCCACTTCAGCAGACTTTTCCACTACAGTAACTTTGAGCTCTTTTCCTTCTTTTGCTGCAAGCTTCTTTGCTTGAATCGCTGCACACATTCCAGCTGGACCTCCTCCCACAATAAGTACATCAGTGGTATCTGCGAATCTTTCCATATTTATTTCTGCAAAATAAGTAAGTAATTATTAAATATCAATATAAAAATAATGTATTCACTAATTAAGTACCTTTCCATCTGGGGTCTTTTTCTCTTGGGTAAATTGTATAGTGGGTGGTAATTTTTGGAAATGCTTCATCTGAGAACAATCTGTTACCTATTTGTGTTCGATTTACTACAAAAAGGTATTTTTGAAATTGATGAACTTTGGAATAGTATGCTATCAGATCAAAGATTTAAATTAAAAGTTAGGTAAAGTGCAAACCAACAATAAACACTTTTCATAAATACTAAAAGTTATTAGATTAATTTTAACTTTAAATAAAATTACTATCCTAAAAAATATCGACTTACGTATTTTTAATAGTGAATTGGGGGAAATAGCCATTTCCTTTTCAAATAACTATTAACTACTACGAAAAGCAGAATTATTATTATCACCGATAATGATGTTATACTTGTAAAATGTAAAAAATTACAGCTTTATGCACTTACACTTACTTCTTCTAATACACAAGTTTTATTTGGGATTACACTTAAAAGTTAGATGTAAATGTACTTTGACCTAAACTAATTTAAGAGAAGGAGAAAATTGGCAGCTTGAGGTATTTTTATTTGTTAATTATTATTTTGAATATTTTCTACTAGAAGACAATAACTCTTATTTTTTTACCAAAATACGGTTATATGAATATAAAAATAATAAACATTTATTTAAAGAAAGTAGGGTTAGATGTTAAAGGGTTTACGAGGGTTACGACGGTTAGAACCATAGACCGGGATGGACAAGGAGTGGTTACTTTACCATGATTCTTTTTTTTTCTAAAATGTTAGATAGTGGGTATTCAATTTGGTATTAAAATTAATCAGGTTAAGCAAACAGAGATAATAAAAAATATTGTTTAACGGGTGATGGATCTGTCTCAAAATTTCATAATTCAATTTTTTTATTAATTTTTCGTTACTCTTATAATTCATTAACAATACAACATTCTGAAGAACTAAATTCAAAACATTATCATTTGCAGGCATTTCTCAAAATTTATGTGCTTGTAATGGGTACGGAGACATAATCGATGTATAAATTCAAAAATTTTGCTTGCGCTTCGCGCCTTAGCTTTAAAATTAATAAAGAAATTTATATCATGTGAATAGTACAGTTCGTAGTAGACCTTTACAGATGGCGACATAGTGACTTTTCTTGATATCTAATTTATCGTTAATTTTTTTTTAATCATTTAATTACAAAAGGATTTTACGATTAGTAAAGATTTTTTTACTGCGTGTTTTAATTTAATAAAATTTATTTATTAATGTTGTATAATGTAAATAATATGAAATTAAATAATTAAGATTAAGATTACTTTGAAAAGTGAATTATTGTTACAACCGGTGTAAAAACTAACACGATTTTATTTATAAACATTGTAGGGATGCATATTCTTATCATATTATCAGTTAAATGAATAAAAAGAATTTAAAATTTTTAGACCGCCATATTATCCATGAGGCTCAGTTATGGGTGCCTTTTAACAAGGTTATCGTAAAGATATTCAGACATGGTACAAAAAATTGATAAAGCATATACGTCATGCACCAGTTTCTTCACTATCTACACCGATCTACTCAGATGTTCAGTTTATAGTAAACTTATTTTAAATCGGTACTATTTGCGCCATCTATTCTAGATCAATATTGATTGTCCAATACACCAATGATTAATTGCAATGTTACATAAGGAGCTACAAAGATGAAAAGGTGAGTAAAATTTTTTAGATTTAAATTGAACGAAATTAATATTTAAAAAGGATCAGTACGTACCTTTGGGGAAATTAATTCAAGTAAAGATTATATTTTTCATTCTCCTTCTTTTAGACTAAGAAGAGTTTGGAATAAATTATCTGAGGCTATTAAATGTTGTGTTAATTTTAGGGAGTTTAAGAATGAGTTATTTAATTATGTGATTAACTATCAATAATTAATTATATATAATTATCCTATTTATGTTCAATTATNGGACAAATAAGAGAAAAATGGTAGAAATAAGTGTATAATAAACAAAAAATAGTGTTAAGTACCTAATGATTAAAAATACAAAAAAAAAATGAGGGGTTGTAAATTAAAAACGCCTTTTTTGTAAAAAACCGCAGAAAATTTATTTTTTTTACATTTAATGACAGGGGCACTGACAATAAGCCAAAGAACAAAGTATCGGCTGTCATGTCGGCCAGACACACATTTCTGTAAATATTTATAAACATAATCTTAAAAAAATGAAACAGTCTTAATAGATGGAAAATATTAAAATAATAAGCAGGTACTAAAGCAACAAATCAATAAATTAATTTAGGAAAAACGAAGTAAACCAACATTGGTTTTCTGACTAGGGTCGGTAAAAACTCAGTTAGAAATCAGTTATTTTTGGTTTCTAATATGCAGTAAATTGTGACCGTGAAGCTATATATCTGGTATGTAAATCGAGTAATTTCCCCTTTCGAAATAAAAAGTACAATACAGCTTGTATTACCCACATGTCGTCTAAGCGTTTAAAAATTCTTTTTCAGAGAAAACATGTTGCGAACTTTTATAGGGCGTAAAATTTATCGTATTTCTAAGTCAATTAAAAGGAAAACGTAAACGTGCGTGTATGGTATTATTCCAACTAGACGAATACAGTGAAAAAAGCTACACTATATCTATAATACTATGTATATGAATTTGTGAATTACAGAATTCCTATAAAGGATTATCAGGGACGTAGTCAGAGAAAGGGAACTCTTGGGGTTTTGATTTCCCTTATGAACTTTATTAAAAAAATAAACCAAAAAGATTCGTCGCACAAAAATTCTTTAACTGGCCTTCATTTCTAGTTAAAATAAAGTCTTTAATCAAATTTCTCTAAATTGTGGTAGTTTTTCATACGGAAAATATATTTTAGAGCTTGTATATGTGCGAAGTACGCACACACTCCCGACTTGAAGGGTATTAGGGTTCGAGAACATGACGACTAATAGATAAACTACAGGGGTGTTTTAGATATGAAATTTTGGATTTGGATATGGATACGGATATACTAATAATATTATACCTGTTTCAGATATGGTTACGTATATCAAAATTATTTTGGATTGCGGATTACGGAGTTTCGTAACATCCCTGGTATAAACCTATAAAACATTTGGGTTTCACAGAATTGGTATCGTAATCCCCATATCGTATCGTAATCTATATATAATATCGTAATCTCCATGTACTTTTTCCAAATAACCTACTAAATTAAAAGAATTATCCTAATTAATATTATAAATGCGAATGTGAGTTTGTTTAATAGCTTTTCACGCCTTTAATGCTTTAAATTACAGTATAGGTGAACTACCGAACGTTTTTGTTAAAATACTCTAAACTACAATATATGTCATCACCATAAGGTTGTCAGTCCTAAGACTGGTTGGACACGTATCTCCACTCTTTCCTATCCTGAGTTAATCTTCGCATTTCCCTAAAACTAGAACAACCCACATCCTTAACTATTTGCGAACATTAATCTAATCTAGCCATACCTCTACCCCTCCTAACACCCGTTTCTGCCTCTAATATGTCTCTGACTAGACCTTCATGCCTGAGAAGGTGTTCTACCAACCTATCTCGCCTATTTCTTATTGACTTCCATAGAGTCCTCTGTTCTCCTATTTTTTCTAATACCTCTTCATTTCTAACCTTTTCTATCCATGTTATCCTCATCATTTGCTTATAACACCACATTTCGAACGCTTCTAACCTTTTCTTTTCCGCCGCGCCCACTGTCCATGTTCCGCACAGAATATGTGCACTACCGAAATTTTTTGCTCAATTCAGAAATATTTTGGTAGACGATTCGATGCCTGTCTTCTAGAATGGGATTCAAATTTCGAACAATTTTGTAGAATACATGATGTGTGTGTGTACTGTGCAAGAAAGGTAACGCGCCTTTTAGTAATATCTGAAAGGTGGCATGCAAATTTATCTTTATAAGAAACTCATTTTTTTTTTTGTTTCTTTTGTATACTCACATGCGGAGGTGTAATTTAAATAATGCTGGATACTATCAACACTGAACAAATGTTGGTATTAATTCATTTATACCGTGATAGGCATTTAAACATTACGTGTAGTAGTAGTTCTTCATCGTTGTAGCTTGAGTTCTTATCTTAACTCGGCACATAGGTACAGATATCTAAGTTGCCAATTCACGCCCAGGACCGGCTTCGTATTGTAACTTGTGTTTTTTTTAAATTTCTTTTGTCTTTTAATCACGCTGCAGTACTCACCATGTGATTCCCTAGTAGACACCCTCCAAAGCTTGCTACTTATTTCAGAATACCTTGCATGTTTATGCATTGTTTTAAAATTCTTGTGTTCTACCGTTCCAAGTTTATATGACCCCCTTGAAAATTAAATAAGGGATGGGCTGGAGGTTGAAGGTTTCGGTTCCGAATTGTATTTATTTTGTAATATACTCTGTGTACTTAGGTATGTACATGTCTATACTTAAATTTGAAATGGTCGAAACTCCTGGTACACTTTTTGGTTGTTTATAATAAAATGAGGGGAATGAAACTTACGGAACTTGTGTATGTTGTCATTAAGGCAGATAAAAAAGGTAAAAATGATATTACATCACTTGGGAATGGATCCCGTATCGTCTGCAGGGTAGTTTCGAACTTTCAAATACATCTGAATACGTACAAATTGTTCCAATTGTAATTATTTTAAGTTTGTGATTTGTTTTAAAGTGCCATAAGTTGAAAGGTTAATTCACTCGAATAAGCGTGAAATGTTTGATTTGAAAGCAAATTGACTACACGCGATCTCTACTTAAGTAATATAATTACTTGGCCGCTTTAAGCTGGTCGAGTTTTTGCGCAGGTATTAGGTAATTGGTGAAAACACATGATGATACTTCCTTTGACATAGTTCCGTATATAATAACTATAATTTAATATTCCGTCTTTATAATATCAAACGAAAAGGAAACAGAAAGAAGCTTAACTCTGTTAGTGAAGACCGAATAAGTTTTCTTCATATAAGGACTCTTCTAGCCACAGATTATTATCGGTCTTAATCAAAAGTTACGAAAACTTTCGTAAAGCCAGGGCTAGATTACGTGAACGTTTATTAAGTTTGAAATAAGATCTTGCTTTGAGAACTAATACTCGTTTTTAAGGAAAAGTTAGAACGTTATGCGGTGCACCTAGTTTATTATATCACGTAAAATGGTGTATACGAACTGGATACCTCCGGTGGAAGCTTCAAACTTTGGAAATTTTTGCATGAACCACTTTCACAAACAAAGATGCAAAAGGTCGTAAACATTCGACAAGATTTTCTACTTCCTCACCTTTTGCGTGCATCTTTGGATTTCAAATTAATAAATTTTGTACTCTTTTAACTATGTATCTAACGACATCAAATCACTTTTATAAATAAATTTAGTGGTACTTCTGTCACTTCTTAAGAAACATTTTTAATTCGTAATTTCATTCATAAAAAGTTACTAACGCTGGTGGGTGAGCAGCTCTTGTGACCTATACTCTGGTGCAAAGCCGAGGGGTAGGACAGAAGCCTTTTTTAAAGAATTGAGAGGGAAGAGGCGGAGGGGACGGCTGAAGAGAGACAGATGATGAGACGGATTAAATGAAGGCATAATTAATTCAGTAACTGTTATACTTCTGAAGATGCCCTAGGCCTAAGAAACTGAAATATCGGCGACGGCACTAAAAAATATCACTTTATTAAA